GTTTCGTCTTTCTTTTTTCTTAGGAATTCACGCGTTTGTAGAATTACTTCTCGAGACCATCTGCTGAGTGTCGCGGCTGGGTTGCACTAGTATCGCATTGATGAGCAACTCCAGCGGCAATTATCCTCTTCCCATTAACTCATACCTTTAGGTCATCTCTAGAAAAAACACAATTATGCACTCAGTCAACTAAAAAAATGCTGCCCTTCAAGAAGCAAACAGCCTGGCCAATTTCCTGGCTTTATACTGCTTAATGCGACATAACAAGCCATCATCATCCTATCTCTAAATCCCCCATTTTCTTTGCGGACCAGCCACTTCTAATGAGTCCCCTCCTTTTCCATTGCATCACTTTCAACCACTTTAATGCACCGAGTATTAAGGAGCATCGGTAGCGCCGCGCCTATAAAGGCCAGCTTCATCATTCAACAGATAAAGGCACTAGCTGCTGGCGGTATGTAAAATTTCAATCTCTCTATTCCTTCACACCAAGGTAACCACTGCCTTTAGACTGAGAATCTGACAGAAGCCAGCATCATTCACACCGGCTTCAGACAAAAAATGCTTGAGCGGTCAAAATATTCTCGTCTATTCTCCATAATCCCACCAAACAATATGACCTTGACTCCAGCTGGAAAAATGATCCAAATAGCCGTTTCTACAAAAATATTTTGGATAATGATCGTCAGTTATGACATAGATTAGTATGAAGACCAGAAACTTCCGGTAATGTTTATGCGAAGCATGCGTTATTATCTTCCATCGAACACTGCAAACAGATAAATAGTTCTGAAGCCTACGCAAAAAATTCTTTATGGACTCAAGAAGAAAATGACCGCGATGTAACACCAAAAATTGTGATTTCCAACTAAACATAGTTCACAATGCAGACTGCTTTTCCAGTTAAAGCATTGCCTTGAGGATGGTGGAAATTTTATATTGCCAACAGTTGCTCATTGGTAAACATCTCAGCCAGAAGGGCATAATAAAGAAAATTGAGCATGCGCTTTTGACTAAAAAATCTTTTCTGATTGTCCTGGATCTAAAAAGATAAAAATGTAACGCCCCGCGCCACAATTCCATGCGATCTGTTAATCTGTTACAAGCACTATGGTGGGAAAAGTGTGCAGTAGACTGTTAAAGCGTCCGGACACCATATGCTCATAAATAAGCAAGCAGCCTTAGAGAGACTACCTTACTAGTTCCCCTGACAACACCAGTAAGTCATAATTATAGCAAGTATGTGTAAGATAAGTCAAAGCATTCAAGTGTATATAGTTATTACCCACCTAGTATGGCGAATGGGAAACAAATTTAAACAAAAGACAAAAAAAAAAACTTTTGTAGCCTTCAAATATTGCATTTAACTAAAAGGCAGCACATGAATTTACAAATAACAAAATACATCATTAAGAGATTTTCGGGTCTTCGTTGAAATATGTTTGCATTACGTGAAGCAAGAAACATGCTAAAACCCAAATAGCTTCAAGGTAGCTTACAGATCATGACTATTGTTTTCAAGCAGTTGCCATAATACTAAGTCAATGTGATTAAATTGACAACAGAAGGAAACATGCATCTGCACTGCCAAATATATATATGCAGTATACTACGAATCCAGGAAAGAGCAGACAGCCGATCCTGCTCGATGATGTGGTCAGCTTTTCTTGGGCAAACTTGAAACTCGGCACTTCCCCTATCATGGCGGAGAACTTTGATCCCTCTTTTCTTAAGCTCGCCCATCAATCCGCCCTTCCAGCTTAGAACAATAGCATACACAAGCCCATCACAGCTCAAAATCTCAGCACCTAATTCCAACATTGACAACGGTGCTCCTGTCATAGACAGCTCATGAAAGACCAAAACAAATTTCTTTGACGAAACAAGGCGTGCAAACTCTGCCTTTCTATTGCAATTTCCACTCTTTTTCCCCGAGCTCGAACCAAGAACGCTATCCTCCGTCTGACTAAATGGCCCAACAATTAACCCGTATGAAGTATTCTTTCTAGGTATCATCCCTTCATCCATATACCTAGTTTGATTCTCCCCTACCACTTCCTTTACCTTCACCGGGCCTCTCCTCAATCTCCGGACTTTCCTCCCTTTCTTCATCAAATTGATACCAGAGTTTGAGTCCAAACCTTTCTTCCCTTCCACTGATAAACGTGCTTTTCCCGGGGCATTAGTATTATTAGCCCCTTTAATTGCATTCTCTTCTGTCTTAACACTACGCCGTAAGCTTCTATAACCAATAAACTCAGTCTTGTGATCTCCATGAGCCCATTGTGATTGCACATGGAATCCAATATATGCCCAAATAAGTATCAACATCAACCAGAACACTACTCGATTATTTCGAATCCAAACGAATTTCCCTGTACTGCCTCTGAAATTCCTTCTTGGAGTCCCACTCGAACCCAGTCTTCGATACGCAGGCGAGTTCCTAGGGCTTGATTTACCTGATAGTGAGGTTTTCAAGCTCAATGGCGACAGATTTGAGTTCGGTCTCAAAAACTTCCCGTGTAAGTCTACTTTGCCACTAATTTCCTCCATTTTTATTCCTTTTAACGGTACCACGCTCATCAAGATCCCACTAAAATTCTCATCGAATCTCCTCCAATCCAGCTCGAAAGATCAAAACATGCTAGTGACACTAAAAAAGGAGTTAAGAAAATCTGCTAAATCTACCAGGCCCAGGAAAAGATTGGCGGAGCTTTTTTTTTTCCAATTCGAGAAGACTGACCAAAGGTAAATCAAGAACTATATTTCATATCGAAAAAAGAAGAAAAAAAGAAAAAAAAAGAAACGGATCAATAATTACTCAGAAAAGAGAGCTCGACCCAACTGGTTCTTGAAGATTGTAACGGTTTCCACAAGAGACGGGATTCGAGAAATGGCCAAAGAAGTAAGAGATCAAACCCTAGAAATGGCGAGCCAGCCGCCGATCTGGGGCTTGCATCAGCTTCTGTAACTGCGAGGTCAGCAGATCAGCGGCAGTTCGGAATCTGAAGAAAGAGAGGGACGGAAGCAATGACGTAGGATTCTGAGATCGAAGGGGGAAGGGTTTTGAGAGAATTTTAATGGAGAATTTTTCAGAGAGAGAGAGTTGCTGGAAACAGTAGAGAGATTTGGGTGCGGGTTCGGACAGAGGTTTTGACCGCGGAGAGACGAACTCCGACGCCTTCGCACGTGCACTACTCGTGGGAGCAAATGGCAGCCGGCTGTATTTGGAATTCAGTCGTTTCTACTGGGACATAATCACGGGTGCACAAAAATACCTGTGTCTGAAAAAAAAAGGAAAAAAATGTGTCAATGCTCCAAAAACATAAACTTCATATGACGAGACCCCTTGTATTTTTCCCCATGTGGATAAGCCCCAAATACGCACAGTATTTGCGACGAGGCCCCGAAAAGACCTTTTTCTGTTAAGGCCCAGCAAAAGTTACAATCGTGCCCCTCTGATGGAACTGAACTCGGTTAATGCGCCGCAGCCCTATTCAAGTACCCTCCCTCTCTTTCTCTCTCTTCCACCGCTTAGGATCCTCAAAAACTCTTCATCTTTCTAAATTCTGTTCGGATTTCAACAGTTCTAGGGTTTTCGCCGGAAAAATGTCGTCCATTGAAGGATCCGTTAACGACTACGAGGTCGTTCAATGAGACGAGTCGATGGGCAAAGACGGTTCATCTGTGGTTGGCTGTGCGGAGGAAGCTACTGTAACCCTTATGGAAATGCAAAACCAGGCAATAAAATGGTGAGCCCGGAAAAGAAGAACGGCATTAGCTCGTCGTACCAACGAACCCCCCCAAAAAAAAAACAGTAAGTGCTATGTTATCCAGTATTTGGGAACTCGACCTAATTTTCCCTAATTTCAGTTCATCTTAAACACTGCTAGGTTTTACCATAGTATTGTTAGTTCTAGTCTGAGTCCACATGAGTTCTAGTTTGAGTCCAATGTTAGTTCTAGTTTGAGTCCAGTGTTAGTTCTAGATTGAGTCCAATGTTAGTTTTATAACAGTACACGTTAGTTCTATTATATTCCCGTTAGTGTTAGGTCTAATATGAGTTCATAGGTCTTATTAAACTTACAAATTCGAAATATTTTTGCAGGGACAAAGTTGCTCTTACAGGTGCGGCCGTATCACTAAGGTTAACCGCCAATATCGGGGCCTATTGGGAATTCATGAAGCGAATTGCCCCGAAGATTTGTCAGTGGCATAGGGATGCTTACGGTGGTTCTATATTTGAGCACTATATTTTATTTGGGGCTCCTGCGCTAATCTTTTCATTTCTGAAGAGGGTAAGAAGTTAAAAAAAGCAGAAACCACCCAACGTAAACACCTCGAAGGGCATCTGGAAAGGCTAGTGGAATCTACAGAAAAGCGGGATATCCAGGATTTTATTCTGCTACAAATCCTGTACCAATGCTCTATGATATGGAGCCCCAGAGCCGGGGAAGGTATCCCTAAACCCTTACTCAAGTACCTGGACAGCATTGAGAGGGTCAATTCTGTTGCATGGGCCCTGTTCTTTTATGATAAAATTATCAGGGGCATTGGAGTTGCTTTGGGAGGAAAGGAGAAGCGAGGGGTCACATATGTCCCAGGTTGCATGACACTATTGTCTGTAAGTTCCATATTTTACTTATCTTGGTTCATTCTAGTTCTAATTTGTGTCGTGTGAGTTCTAATTATGCCATGTTAGCTCTAATCTACACCATGTTAGTTCTATCGCAGATTTTGTTAGATCTAATTTGTGTCGTGTGGGTTCTAATTTATGCATTGTTAGTTTTAAGATATACCATGTTAGTTCTAGCTGCACCCATGTTAGTCCTAACATAGGTCATGTTAGTTCTACCTGGGCTCATGATGGTTCTAACATAGTTTATGTTTGTTCTAACATAGTTCTACTATGTTAGTTCTAGCTGCACCCATAGTTTACTCTCTTTGGTGTAGTCTAGTATTATTCTAAATGCCAAATATATTTGCTACAGCTTTGATACTACGAGATGACTGGCATAAAGAAATATGCCCTCGTAGACTGTTCCAGACCTCCAATGACAAATTGGGCACCAAAGGATGCAAAAGTCCCATCTATGAGGGTGGAGATAATTACGGCAAATTCTAAGTCAGCGTCAATAACTTTTGTTCATAGCCTTATTGTGGAGGTCTCTTCTCCAGGTCATGTTCATGCACTTCCTGCTGTACAGAGGGGTGAAGTTGTGCATCATAAGCGTCAGGCAAAGAGGAAGACTATCCAGGAGGAAACTACTAAGAACTTCTCAATAGGCTACGTAAGTATCCTGTTATGTTAAGTCGTACTCATTTCACACCAACTGCAAACAATATCCTAATTATGTGTAATCCTACTTTAAATTATAATCTCTTATTAATAACAGATAATGGCAAAGCATATTGACGTTACTTTCGACGATGAAGAGGAGATCAATGTTCTTCCCATTGAGCAGCAACTTACATTTTGGAGAAATTCTGCTAAATTTCTCAAACGACTACTAGGTTCTACTAAGCAGAACAAGAGTACATATTGTAAAGAATTCATGATGGAGATAAACAGGCTAAACAGGATAATTGAAAATTTTGGAAGACATGATGAGGTTATAGACCCGGTTGTGCTGAAGGCGAATATCAAACAAAAAATTACAAATGAAATGAGGAAGAAGCGACGGGTAGCTCAAGAGGAACAGAAGTCCAAAACAAGCAGTGTATATATGGAAGACCCCACCATGCAAGAACATGTACATAAGATTGTTGAAGAGGATGTGAAGCATCCTACTGACGACAATGTTATAGAAGATAAGCATGTTATTTCAGAAGGGGAGAATGTAGATAGTAAGGCTGACCTAAATGTAGATAGTAAGGTTGAGGATATTGTAGATCTTGAGGTTGAACATGTAGATAAGGAAGAGGAGCATATTAAACATGAAAATTTTATTGTAGATAACAAAGGTTTTGATGAGGATCCTACTGAGAGTGTAGATAAGGAGGAGGATATCGTAAATAAGGAGAAGGAGAATCCAGATAAGTTGGAGGAGCATGTTGATAGAGAAGGGAAGAATGTAGATAGTATGGTTGACGCGAATGTAGATAGTAAGGCTGAGGATAATGTATATATGGAGGAGGAACATGTGGATAGGGAAGAGGATCATGTTGAACATGAAAAGGTTATTGTAGATAACAAAGGTGCAGATAACAGTCAGATTCTAGGCAAAGTTGTAGAGGTGTTGGAAGCACAGGAGGAAGAGGATCTTGTGAATATTAAACATGATGTGGACAAACTTCTAGAAGTTCTAATGACCAATGTGGAAGCAAAGGGTTGCCCACAGCCAAGAAGGATAAGCAGGAGATCTAAATGGAAAAGGACCCCATATACTGAAGGAAAAAGAAAGAAAAAGGAAAAAAATGAAGTAGAAATACTTGAAAGTCCTAAAAATGTAAAACTAGTTGACAAAGTTACTCATTTTTACCCCGGTAATTAAATCCCCACTTGGGATGTGTTGAGTTTGAAGCCAATGACAGATGATGAGGTAGCTCTATTGAGAGATCTGAATAAAGAGATTTCAGACTCTACATTGTTTAACATACGTATAATAGATAGCATAGGTGCTTTTGTACATAACTTAAAGATACCATCTGTAGTAGCAGCCAGACTCGACAAAGCTCAAATCGATAGGCTAACTAAATTTTGCTCTCAGAAGATTCACAGGTAAGTTTCAGTTGACTATTTATATGCTAATTCGTCACATATTAGTCCTAATTCATGTTAGTTCTAATTTTCAGGAGATATAATGTTATAGTAACATCCAACAATAGTATTAACAGAGAAGAGTTGTTATATTTGCTTCATGGTGGCCGGCTTGATGACAAGGTTAGATTATACATGCTTAATAATTGAAAATGCCTTGTTTAAATTGAATTTTAATATTTCATAACATTTACAGATGGAAGAAGCAGTATTAGACACGCTTAACCAAGAGGCATATGACAAAGGCTATAGAGTCGTATCAGTGTTCTTTCATATAAGAACATACTATTTCTAAATTAACCATGTTAGTTTTGATTGAAATGCATGTTAGTTCTTGTTGGATCCATGCTAGTTATACCATGAATCACGTTGGTTCTAGTTGGCGTCAAGTTAGACCTACCATAAGTCATGTTGGTTCTAGCGCAGTTCGTGTCAGTTCTAGTTTATGCCGTGTTAGTTCTAATCTGTACCATGTTAGTTCTATTCTTTAGCGTGTTAGGACTAACTCATACATGCTGTGTTTGCAGCACTCACTCTATGGCTTCGAGCCGAGCAATTACGAGCTATATTTGACATATATTGACAAATATACCGCATTCCGCATGGAGACACCGTTGATCCCTTTAGTCAGGGACGACCATTGGCATATTGTTGAAGTTGATTTGAAAGATAAGGTCGTAAAGCATTACAGTTCTGCTGGGCACGAAGCTTGGATGGAGCCTATTAATAAAATCATAAACTACTTTGATGCCCATCATGTTGATTTTGTTGAGCAAAATGTGCGCAGAATATTTAGATATGAAGCCATCAAATGCGAGCAACAAAGAGGACGGTTAGTTCCAATGTCTAAATTGTGTTAATTTATGTTAGTATTAGATATGACGAAAATGTCTAATTTAGCCTTCTATGTTGCAACTTTGACTGTGGTTTGTTCGTCTACCTCTTTATAAAAGCAATAATTGAAGGCCGCTCAACATTGCTGGTTAATCCTTCGAACGATATCCCTGAAGCTATGCGAGCAAGACTTGTCACACACTTATTACTTGCTGGTTATGAACAAAGACATAAAGACGAAGCAATGTACAGTGATGAATGATATGTTCATACAAATACAATAATGCATGTATATTTTATTGAAAATGCGTGTTATCAGATGTATTGTTGGCTCTAACTTCATGTTGGTTCTAAAAGTGTACGTTTTAGCTATAATGGCATGTTGTGTTAGTCCCACTTTATTTTGGCTTTAACTAGAACTTAACGCTCTAAACAGATTAGAACTAACATGCCAACTCTCAGAACTGACGCAGGAGGGGCAAGGACTTACACGCAGCACGATAGAGCTAACATCGAAGCTATTAGAGGTGACCTCACTTGAACTAACGCTTTAAACAGATTAGAACTAACACACCAACACCTAAAACTGACGCAGGAGGGGCTAGGACTTACACGCA